AAACATCAATTGAGAAAAACACCCGCAAATTTTTCTTTTTCTGCTTTTCTTGCTTGGACTAGTTTACCGACTAGCTGTGTGCATTTTGGGTCAACATGCGAAGCAAACCGATTCAATTTTGACCTCTAATTGATGTTTTTTTTTAAATTCTATATAGTATCATGGTATCAAATGGTCATAAAGAAACAAACAATTTACAAGAAACCTAGCAAAAAAGACAACCACTGATATAATAGAACAATACAAAGCAGCCACAGTAGAAAGTTGGTTATCTAAGACTTTTCCCTACAATGACATTAACAACGTGGTTTGTATTAAAATTTCAAGTCAAAATTAACGATTAATTTTAACCAAATATTTCATAGAATCTACAATTTTTCAACCATGCATTTCTTCAACTTTTATCAAAATTTACTAAAAATCCGATTTTAATCTCTATTTTTGACAATTTTTTTATAGTGTGTGAGGTGGATATTTTTTGACTATTGATTTCAACAACATTTAAAATAATTCATAACACAGATTTTCACACCGTCAATCTTAATGTATACATGAAATGTACAAATAGCGTTTTCCTTTTGCTCTTCTAGCCTTTAGGGTAAGCCACCTCCTTTTTGAAATGAGTCAAATGACAGTACAAACATAGCATGCTAAATATAGTATTTCAAGTACATGAGCAATAAATCTGGTAACAAATTTAGCTTTGGTTAGGTAAAGCTTTCGGCAAACTTCACTTTTAACCGGACCCATAATGTTTGTTCGTTCTTTAATTATACATTTTTTGAATCATCATCTCAAAAAACTTTCTCAAATAGGGACTTAAAGCCAAAATAAGATTTACCGTGCAATATTTATGCATTTCCTCAAGAAGCTACCAAGTTCGAGACTATTTGAGGAGTTTTTCTCTACTTACAAACAAGAGGATTATAAAACTTTGACGTTAAATATTTATAAATGTATTAGCCTTCAACAAAGGTCGTGTAGCTCATATGGCAGTGATTGCTTTGCATGCGAGAGGCATAGGGTTCAACCATGTGATAATGGAAAGGTTGACTATTATGGTCAGGGACGGATCCAGAAGGTCGAGTGAGTTAGGGCGATCGTTGACCGTTTACGACTTCAATAGCAAAATTATTTATTAATATTAAAAATATATATGAATATATAATAATTACTAATTAGACT